CCAGTATGAGTCCTAGCAGTGACGAATAGAGGATGAGATGTCTCGAGTACCGTATGCATCAGTAGTGGGAAATTTAATGTTCGCTATGATATGCACAAGACCAGACATTGCACAAGCAGTGGGAGTGGTTAGTCGGTACATGGCGAATCCAGGCAAAGAGCATTGGAATATTGTAAAGAGGATCCTCAGATACATCAAAGAGACCTCAAATGTTGCATTATGTTACGAGGATCAAACTTACTAATCAATGGTTATGTAGATTCTGACTATGCAAGGGATTTGGATAAAAGCAAATCTACTACAGGATATGTGTTCAAAATTGTTGGTGGAGCTGTAAGTTGGGTTTCAAAATTGCAGTTAGTTGTGGCTACGTCCACAACAGAGACAGAATATGTAGCAGCTACACAAGCCAGTAAAGAATAATTTGGTTGAAGATGCTATTGGAGGAGCTTGGGCACAATCAAGAGTATGTCTCTCTGTTTTGTGACAGTCAAAGCACCTTGCATCTAGCAAGGAATCCAACATTTCATTCAAGGACAAAGCACATACGAGTTCAATACCATTTCATTCGTGAAAAGATGGAAGAAGAACGGTAGATATGCAGAAGATCCATACCAAAGACAACATAGCAGATTTCATGACGAAGGCAATCAATGCTGATAAATTTACCTGGTGTCGATCCTCCTGTGGCCTGTCAGAAACGTAAGCAACATGAAGGTACAAGGTAGAAAGAATGGTGTAAAGATATGATTATTCCAATCAAATCTTCAAGTGGGAGATTGTTAAAAGTCAAATAATTTAGGCACCAAATGGTGCTTTGTCAAAGTCAAAAATTAGGCACCTAATTTTTGTTGAAATTGGGTAATGGGATAATTAATTTTAGTCATTGTAATTTAGGGTATTTATAAGATTAGTCCTTAAGTTTCAACTATAAATACCCTAGCTCATTTAGCTTCAAAATCATCCCAAATCATTCTAGCTTTCTTCCAATACTAGAGAGATTTTAGAGAGTTTCTTGAGAGTTGTTTTCTCCTTTTTATCTAGAGAGAATTATCATTGTTTTCTCATTGGTAGATCGAGAGAGGTTGTAATTCCTATTTTCTCATAGTGAAATTCTTCTACCGTTGCCCGTGGTTTTTACCCTAAATTTTTAGGGTTTTCCACGTAAATTTTGTGTCTCTTTTATCTTCATTTTTATTTTCTCAAATTATCAGTTACGATTTTGCTCTATCCGATAGCCGTCTTCCGCAACAAAGGGGTCATTTGTGGAATCAATTGAAAGCATTGTAACCTAATCCTGGATGGCCGTGGATTTTAGAGGGTGATCTTAATGTGATTGACAATCGCTCAGAATGACAAAGAGGGTCTCAAAGACGTCACGGGGTCTGTCCGAAATTTTGTGAATTTTATTTAATCAGGCTTGATGGATATGAATTTTAAAGGGCCTAAGTTCACTTGGAGACGTGGAACTCTATCGCAACGTTTGAATAGATGCATGTGTAATAATATTTAGTACGATGTATTTGAGCGTTCAGAGTTATTCACCTACAAAAGTTGGGGCGGATCATCGTCCTATCTTACTTGATATGGGATCTGGTGGAGAGAGTTTCAGGCTCGCCCTTATCGGTACGTTGATGCTTGGAGTGACCACCCTGAGTTCCCGAAGCTATTACGTAACACTTGGTCAAATGGTAGGGAAATACATGATAACATCATGAGTTTCCAAGTGAAAAGTCAGCAATGGAATATGGAGGTTTTTGGTCATATTGAAAGGAGGAAATCTTTGCTTCTTGGTCGTGTTAGAGGTATTGAACAAGCTCTTGAAAATGTTACCAGTGATTATCTTATTGAGCTTCAGATGGAGCTTAAACAAGAATTGAGCTTGGTCCTAGCACAAGAAGAAAGCCTCTGGCATCAAAAAACTCGTAGTAATTGGATATTTAAAGGGGATAGAAATATCACTTATTTCCACAATTCTACGATCGCAAGACGTAAACACAATATGATCGGAATGCTGAAATGTTCGGATGGCTCTTGGTGCCGAGATGCTAAGTTGTTAAATCACATGCTGTAAATTTCTTTTAGGACTTGTTCATCAGTGATTCACGTGCAATGAGTATTGATACGAGGAGATGCAATTTTTTCCACTTCAATGATGATGAAATGCGGGTATTACTAATGGATATTTAAATGGAGGAGGTTTGAAATATGGTGTTTAGCATGGCCCCGTTGAAAGCTCCAGGTAGGGATGATCTGCACACGACATTTTATCAAAACAATTGGAATGTTGTGGGATGGTCGATACACCAATTATTAAAAGTTTCTTTGATGACGGAGTGTTGGATGAATAGATTAATCAAACTCTTATATTATCGGAAAACAAATAAACACAATAAAAAAACAAAAAACATCATGATTTACGTAGAAAATATCAAAGGGAAAATCACGGACAGAGAAGAAGAATTTTATTAATACGAAGAAGAAAATATAAGAGTATTTTGGTTAAAGAAAAGAACTTAATTTCTAACCTGAACCTTAATATCTATTTATAAGGATAAATATTTGATTACAAAGGAAAATTAAATAAAATAGAAATCTACTTTAATAAAGTTTTCTACTTTTAATCAAACTGAGTTTCCTACTTTTATAATATTTTATATTAATTAATTTGTGTCACTTTGAATTCGAGTCAAACTCTAAAAAATATCCACATTGACATGAATTATGAAAGTGCAAAGGTTTCGAGACAAAACACTCAAATTCGATGTGACACCCAAAGTCAACAAAAATAATTCTTCACTTCATCGAACAAGTTCTGCACATCTTCTACAACACCCCTCAAAGGGGTAATATTTAGTAATGGACACCGAACGAATCCAAGCTTTTTCTAGCTTGGATTTAGTCTTCACATCGACATGGTTATCATAAGTGTCAACTTTGCTCACAAATGTTTCACCACGAGCAATATCATGCACATCACAATCTCGATCATCAATGATAATTCTATCTTCAAATTCATTATGTTCACAAAATTGAACTCTTTTCTGCTTCAAATAATCGTTCTGACCACAGTTATTTTGTTCAACAACGTTATTTGACACGGTGGATGAAACACTAACTGCATTATCTAAAATTTTGAACCCTGTAGAACATAAAACTTGATAGTCTTTCTCTTTCATTTCAACACAACAAGAGAGTCCTTGCAAATTTTCATAGCTCCACCTTCACTGGAGAATTTGTACCCTTTTGGATCTAGAGTACCTAACGAAATTAGATTTCTACTCAAATCTGGAACAAGTCTCACATTATCAAGTGTTCGAACAATCCCATCGAACATCTTAATCTTGATTGTGCCAAAACATGCGACTTTACAAGGGACGTTATTTCCCAAAAATATATCACCTGTAGAAACAACTTCATACATCGCAAACCAGTCACGATTAAGACTCATATGAAAACTACTACCAGAGTCAAGTATCCACTCATCACTTGATATAAAGTTGTCGTCAGCCGCAACTAGGAGTTCTCTGTCATCATACTCCTCTATTGTACTAACCTCACCAGATTTTCTAAAGTTATGCTATTCAGCTTCTCTTTTGATTTTATTTTGCCACTTGTAACACTTCGATTTAATATAACATTTCTTTTTACAATAGTGACAAGTTTTACCTTGGTTGGAAGATTTTGATCTACCCCTTCCAATATTATCAGAAGAACGCTCGCCTTTTCTCCCACTGTCTGAGCTAGTTGATTCATGGATTACAAGACCATCTGTCTGGGGCTCGAAACTAGATACAAGATATTTCATCTCGTCAAACGAGTGCAGACCATTGTAAACTTCTTCAAGAGTGAGTGTTTCGTAACTGTACAAGATTGTATTTCTGAAAGACGAGTAGAAAGGAGGGAGTGAATATAGGAGGACCAGTCCTAAGTCTTCTTGATCATACTTTAATTCTAAAGTCTCTAGATCAGAGACAATTTCCTTGAATGAGGTCAGATGCTTTTCAAGAGGTGAACTTTCCGTCAACTTGAGCGAATAAGGACGCTGCTTTAGGTGCAACTTGATGGTAAATGATTTATGCATGCAAAGTTGTCCAATTTCGCCCACAAAGATGCAACTATTTTTTTCTTTCAACGCTCCTGTAAAATTTGATTTGGTAACTGTAAACGAACCTGAGAAAGAGCTTTGTGATCCTTACGATTTTCCTCATTCGTCCATTGTGTTATCGGTTTCTCATCAAGTTCTTCTATTGCATTGTCGAGATCTAACTGTGCAAGAACATCCTGAATCTTCACCTGCTATAGCGATAACTTGGTGTTTCAATCCAACAACGAAATATCATACTTCATTGTAGCTATAATCTTGAACCCGAAGCTTTGATACCAATTTGTTATAATATCGTAATGATGATTATCGGCAAACAAATAAACACGATCGAAAAAAAACAAAAAACACCAAGATTTGCGTAGAAACCCCAGAAAGGAAAAACCACGAGCAGAGGAGAAGAATTGTACTAATATAAAGGAAGAAAATATAGAGGATTTTGGTGAAAGAAAATAACTTAATTTCTAACCTTGACCCTTAGTATATATTTATAAGGATAGATATTTGATTATAAAGAAAAACTAAATAAAATAGAAATATATTTTAATAAAATTTTATTTTTAATTAAACTAGGTTTACTACTTTTCCAATATTTATATATTAATTAATTTGTGCCACTTTGAATTCGAGTCAAACTCTAGCACAAATCTTACTGATTTTGGTTCCAAGGATTAATAATCCTATTACTATTAGTCAGTTGAGGCCTATCAGCTTGTGTAATGTTTTGTACAAGATCATTACCAAGTTAATTGTTTGCCGCTTAAAACCATTCCTGCCAAAATGGGTGGTGCCAAACCAAGCGAGCTTTGTTCCAGGTCGACAAATCATTGATAACATAATTCTGGCACAGGAGGTTATTCATTCTATGTCGAAAAAATCAAGTAGAAAAGGTTGGATGGCCATTAAGGTAGACCTTGAGAAAGCCTACGATCGTTTAGAATGTGATTATATTGAAGATACTCTCAACGCGGTTGGTTTACTTGAGAAGTTCATTAGTCGGATCATGACTTGTGTAAGATCGGTCGACTCAAATTTATTGGAATCAGGAACTCACAAAATCGTTTAAGCCTACTAGAGGAATCCGATAGGGAGATCCGCTTTCGCCCTATCTTTTTGTTTTGTGCCTGGATAGATTATCTCAGGCGATTGAAGAGAAAATGGATTTAGGTGCTTGGAAACAAATTCGTCTTTCTCGTAATGGTCCTGGTTTGTCACATCTTTTCTTTGCAGACGATGTAGTGTTATTCGCAGAGGCCTCTACAGATCAAATTAATGTTATTAGGGAAGTACTTGATCGTTTTTGCGAGGAATCAGGTCATCGAATTAGTGTGACAAAAACTCAATTTTTTTCTCTAAAAACAGCCCAAGGAGTAGGAGAAACAACATTGCTCAGAGCTTTGGGTTTGAGGTCAGTGATTTGGGAAGGTATATGGGAGTTCCCTTATTACATAGTAGGGTGACCAAAGCCACATATACCTTTTTGATTGACAGAATGAACCAACGGTTATCAGGGTGGGCAGCGAAATCTCTCTCGCTTGTTGGAAGAGTAACTCTAGCTAAAGCGGTTCTTCAAACAATCCGGACTTATGTTTTGCAATCTACATGGAATCTGGAAAATTATGCGAGGAAATTGAGAAAATCATTAGCCGTTTTGTTTGGGGTTCGAGTAATGGAAGTGCTGGAATTTCTCTTGTGAAATGGGATAAGATGCAAATGCCAATGGATAGTGGAGGCATGGTATACATGACTTGTATCGTCAAAATAAGGCATTCTTGTTAAAAGTTGGTTTTCGATTGCTTACAAAACCAGATAAGTTGTGGGTTCAAGTTATACGTTCCAAGTATAAGTGGGAGGACCCATATCCGTTGACTTTACGCCATGGCAGCGGATCTCAACCATGGAAAGGTCTTCAACGTATTTGGAATGATTTTAGTAATATTTCCTGGAACGTTCGTAATGGACAAGAAAAGGATTTTTGGTATGATCATTGGTTGGATGCTGAAGATAGACTAGTCTTCTCCTATACAGGTTCGACCTCGCCAAATCCAACTCCGGTGTGCGATATGTGCCTTCCTTCAGGAACTTGGGACTGGGGTAAACTATCCACTGTTCTCCCTGAACACATCTTACAGCGTATTGCGGCTGTCCAACCACCACAGGCTAGTTTCGGACCTAATTTTCCGGGTTGGCGATGAGAGTCTGATAGGAGTTTTTCAACTAAATCAGCCTATAAATCTCTCTCGAATCCTCGATACATGAATCTGAAGATAACAGAATAAATTGGAAGTGGATCTGGAAACTTGCTGTTCTACAAAGGGTGAGGATGTTTTTATGGCTAGCGTTCCATGCTCGCCTCCTTACGAATGTAGAGCGCACGAGACGTCATATGGCGACCTCTGATAGAGTGATAGGTGCCATATATGTGGCAGAGATTCCGAGGATGTAAATCATATTTTGAGGCGTTGTAAAATGGCTCTATCCGTTTGGTCTAAGGTGATTACCTCGGATAAAATGAATGAGTTCATCTCTCCACCATTTGAGGATTGGTTTAAGAACTTAGATCAGTCAGGTAAGTTCTCTCGTTTTAAAGATGAGTGGGCTGTCCATTTTGCTGTTTATTGTTGGCAATTCTGGAAACACTGTTTTAGTGTTTTGTTTGACCCGGAATAAGTACAATGGGAGGATTTTGTGGTTCTTTGTAACTGGTTAATAGAGGAATTTATGTTAGCCAGGATCCAAAGTGTAGATGTTAATCCTTCGATGGGTCTGCTCCTATAGCATGGTCGCGGCCACCGCTTGGCTGGATTAAGGCTAATTCCGATGGTGCTGTGAGGACTAAAGATAATATGGCGGCAACGAGTGGACTGTTGCGGAACTCTGAGGGGGAATGGATTTTTGGATTCTCTCGAAGTCTTGGTAGATGCTCGGTGCTCATGGCCGAACTCTGGGGCGTTCATGATTCTTTGGTTCATGCATGGAGATTAGGCTGCCGGAAGGTAATTTTGGAGACTGATAATCTCGAGGTGTCAAGGATTTGTAACCATTCTTCCGATGCCTTAGCGGGGAATGCGTTGGTTTCTGCCATAGGTGAGCTTCGTAGTCGTACCTGGACTACTGAAATTCGTCATATCCGTAGAGAACAGAACACTGCTGCTGGCTACTTGGCTGTTTTGTCTCGTGGTGCCCCCATTGGAGATGTTAGCATCATTGAGCCTCCACCGGAGCTTATTAATTTATTACATAAGGATCTTCATGACTCCAGTTGATTTTTAGTTTCTCTGTATTAGAATTTTTTTTGAAAAGCATTCAAATTAGGGAAGAGTATTACAAATTATTATTTTATAAATATTCACTATAAAAAATTATAAATTTTAAACATATACATTCACTTAATATCTAAAAAATTAATGCCACGAATATTACAAGTAATTGTAAATTAAGAGTATACCATAGAATGAAGTGTAGGATCAAAAAGTTAAAAATAATGTCAATAGTAAAAAGTAAAAAAGAACAGAAGAAGAGAATTGAAGGGTGAGTCTCAATGTCCCCAACTCTTGACCAGTTTCTCAACAACTCTGCAATTTACGGTAGTACAAGACAAACCACAAGGAACCACTAAAGCTTGTGTGGTTCTGGAACAAGTGACAATAAAAAAAACTGGAACTTAAATGGTAGTCTTGAGCAGTAATTAAATATCCAGAAATGGCAGAAAAAATAAATAAAGAATGAATGAAGCCAAGGTCTTTTGCTTGGGTCTCACTCTCAAATTTGCGACAGAGACGGTAGTTTCATTGCTTCATCCGCCCTTTATTTAAATCTCTATTTCCATTGAGTTTCTCACTGAAGTTTCTTTCTCTGTCTAGAATTTATTTTCTTAGTAATATAATACTATAGTAGAAAAGATGGGAGCTTTTTGTTTGTGTTATTTTTTGTCTGTGAATTCTTTCAATGGCTTAAAACAAAGTCTTCTTTTTCACACCTTTCAATCTCAGGAAATTAATAAAATATAAAACGTGGAGGGGTTTGACAACACCAAGTCCAACAAGGTCTGGTTTCTCTCCCTTTTTTATTAGCTTCCTTATTCTCATTTCTTGGCATTCTCTGTACTGGAAAATGTAAAAGGTTGGTCTTTTAAGCTAAATTTAGTTTCGATTCTGTTGATGAAATCATTGTTTGCGTCTTTGGGTGATCTGAAGATTGTATTTTGAGTGATGGGTGTTTCTTTTCTTCTCTTGTTTTAGTGTTTAGAAAGATCTAATTTGGGTTGGGGAATTAGGTTTATTCTTTTCTGGGTGGTAATATGGAGGAGGCTGAAGAAGCTAACAAAGCAGCAGTCGAGAGCTGCCATAGAGTTTTGAGCATTTTGTCCCAGCCTCAAGATCAAGTTCATTACAGAAATTTAATGGCTGAAACTGGGGAAGCTGTTTTTAGGTTCAAAAGAGTAGTTTCACTTTTAAACGCTGGCTTGGGACATGCAAGAGTGAGGAAACAAAGGAAGTTACAAACCCCTTTTCCTCACAGCATCCTTTTGGATAATCAACACCATAAGCCAACAGACTATCCATACAAGGATTTGCAGCTCGGTTTCCATGAAAACTCAGTTCAAGAACTGAGTTCACATGCCAAGAGTTCTCTCTGTCTGGGGAACCCGTTTTTGGAACTGAGTTCAAATGCTAAAAGCCCTCTTCAACTCGCCCAACATCCACCGTCCGGCCACTATCATTTACTCCACCAACAGCGGCAACAGTTGCAACAAAGGTTACAGCTCCAACAGCAGCAGCATCAAATGAAACTTCAAGCTGAAATGTTGTTTAGGAAGAGTAATAGTGGGGTTAACTTGAACTTTGATAGCTCTAGCTGCACACCTACCATGTCAACGACGAGGTCTTTCATCTCTTCCCTTAGTATAGATGGTAGTGTGGCTAATTCCGACAATGGGAACGCGTTCCATTTGATCGGGGCACCTCGATTCTCAGATCAGGGTTCCCGACACAAGAAGAAGTGTGCCGGTAAGGGAGAAGATGTGAGTATCAAATGTGGAAGTAGTGGTAAATGCCATTGCTCGAAAAAGAGGTTAGATTCTCTCTTTATAGAATTATGATTTTGATATCAGTTCTCACAATTGATTCTTTGGCTTTATTGGTTTCATTGTATTGGCAGGAAACATAGAGTGAAGAGATCAATCAAGGTGCCTGCTATCAGTAACAAGCTTGCTGATATTCCTCCAGATGATTATTCATGGAGGAAATACGGGCAGAAGCCGATCAAGGGTTCTCCTCACCCTAGGTAATCATTATCATCTTATGTATATATCATACTGATATTTGATATATTGTTGACTCAAATTTCGGTGTTGCCTGTTCGATTTTGCTTGTGACATTACAAATACGGGGTCTGTGATATCTGATTGTCATTTCCATTAAGCGTTCCACATATAATGCCTTTAACTTCTTAGTTTTTACGTTGTTGATTAAGGGTGATGCTAGTTTCTGTTGCTCATTTAAAGTGTTCATAGGAAGTTTGTTAATTTCTCGTGTGTGCGGTTTGTCGAATCCAGTGCAAATTATAGACTCAGAGGCCTTTCCTTTTTAACTGGTGCAGGGGATATTATAAATGTAGCAGTTTGAGAGGTTGCCCTGCAAGGAAGCACGTCGAGAGGTGCTTGGAAGAGCCATCCATGCTTACTGTTACCTACGAAGGTGAGCATAACCACCCAAAGTTACCATCACAAACGACGGCATAATCTCAATGGAAACTCTGCGAAAGAATTCAAGTCTTCAATGTTCAATCTATAATGGTTGGCTCGACTTGGTCATGTAAATATTTTGCATGGTTCAAGCTTGGGGTATATTGGAGCAGGTTGGCTTTCCAAGCCATTTTAACAATCCGGCATCCAGCATTAATCCCCAGTGCCGAACCAAAAGAGAGTGGAATTGGGGTCTAAATTGTAAAGAACTGCAATCAAAGCTTGGAAAGAGTTGAACTTTTTGAATTAAATGAAATGCCATTGGTGCTTCTCAACATGATATAATTGATGTATTTTTTTTTCTTTTTTGTAAATGAACAGAGGGTTGTGGGGTTTGCATTTCTTTTATCTGCAACATGCCATGAGTTGGGTTTTATTTGGAACCAAACTAAAATTGTGGAATTTTTGTCGAACTACCAAGTTTTGGTCAGAATTTTTAAAGTTTCTTTTCACGTTTTGGGTTATATTTGTTTGTGTCTGAACCTTGAAGGATTCAACAGGATATACATTTTTGTATACATGCAGCTGGAAACTTCTGAAAACGACATAACCAGGGTACACGGGACTGGCAGGCTGAGTTAGCCACCTCCAATTATTTATATAAAATTGGAAGTGAAACTTTAATGAGCCTTTGCAACAAGGCATGTGAACTCAACATGCTTCGACAACACATTGCAATTGCATTCCCTTTTCCATTGGCAATGGTTGGCATTCACCATTTTTGTCCTAAGCTTTGTTTCAATAAAGTCACATACAAGCTGTGGGATGATGGCGGCATTTCATTAGCATTGAAGTTGAAATTATTATAAGTTCGGAGAGGAAAAGAGGTTCAAGGTGCTAACATACAACAACCTTTGGTACAATTGTTATGATCTCAAGTGATTAAATTATCTAAACTCGACAAATTTTGATACAATTTGATCTTTATAGAAATGAATTATTTTAAGTTTAAATTTGGATAAGATTTTTTAAATGGATAAAGTTAGATCAGAATCAGGTATAGAATGTAAAATATTTGACCCGACCTAAGATAATAGTATAATTATCTTCTATTATTAAGGATAATTATTATAATATTCCTCCTTTTATATTCACTTATTTTCCCTATTTTCACTAAATAAAAATCAGAAATAAGAAAACGTTTATGTGTTGGGCTGATCAAGGTGAATTTTTATCCCTAAACTCGGGTTAGATTCGAGTCAAGTGAAAAAGTATAAAATATCGGATCAAAATTAATTGGAAACTTCCAATTTTCAAGTAAAATTCGAGATGATAAAAAACTCAACCTAACTCGAGTGCTTTGAAACCGAAACAGTCTGGTTCTTATTAATCAAAGGAACTATGATGAGAGTAAAACATACGGTTGAATTTTGGGTAGAAACTTGGTGTTTCAAACAACTCCTAATGCAACAAACTTTGATGACAAGATAGGTTGAAAAGGTAAATGAGTTGAGACGAGTTACCAATGGGTTAGTTGTAGACTAAGATGATGCCCAATCAGAAGAGAAGAGTCAAATCTGACAAGTAGAACATCATGTGACATATTGAATGCGTTATTAAGTTTTGGTTTCTGGTTGGGCAATGTAGGCTGGCTCTCCTACTCTTGTTTGGCACGAACTACAAAATGTTGACTCATTAAGTCATTATTTAACTTTGTTCTAACTGTTAATGAATTTGTGATTGTTAGGGACTTAGGGCTACCTGAAAATTCCGATTTTTGCTATTAACAATGAAATCATAGTGCGGATGAAGTGTAAGGATTCAAAGTCATTATTTAACTTTGTTCTAACTGTTAATGAATTTGTGATTGTTAGGGACTTAGGGCTACCTGAAAATTCCGATTTTTGCTATTAACAATGAAATCATAGTGCGGATGAAGTGTAAGGATTCAAAGTCATACTATATAAATGAAGAGTAAAATATATAATCTGGAGTGATGTTTATGCATTTTTAAATTAAAACTAACTCCATGAACGATAGTTTTCTTTTATAAATTTGAAGAAAAAATGTAATGAATCGATTATGAGTAATCCAGCTACTTGAGATAATTTGAATAATAATATTTGGCTTGAAAAACATACCCTAAATAAACAAATTACTCATTTAAATGCGAGCAACTTTAACATTGACCGCCTGACTTATTAGTATATAATATATTGTTTTTATATATTATATGAATTATATTACACAAAATTTAACTAAAGTAATATTTAAACATCTGCTAACGTTACTTTTATTTAAAATTTTCATAAAAGAAAAAATATTAGATATTTAATATTAAATTAAAAATTAACATAATTATTTTAAAAGAAATTAAAAATAACTTTAAAAGCAATATAAAACAAACAAGTTACAAACTTAAGCAAGAACGAAATATGCTAATACCATACATAATCCTAATCCATTATGACAACCTATAAACGCCTCAAAGTAGAATGTGATCTTTTATTTAACATGTTTGTTACATGGATTGAATTATGAATGCAACGATATTTGTGAAGCAGTAAACTGACCATCAACATCGTCATCGAAGAGTCATTTAGATGGGAAAAAAAAGCTCGGCTTAGCTGAAAATCGGGCCAGAAAGTTTGAACCAACTTATTCCATTCACTATGATGCTAGGCAAGACCGACTGTTGGTAATATAGTTCAGAAGGGGATGGCGGAAAAGGAAAGAAATGCAAAAGCGTAACGAAATCTTTTTCTAAATTGAGTACGAAGAGAACAGCTACACTAAACACACTGATCAAAATTCAATAACAAAATAACATTCCAGCAGGACCGAGAAAGAAAACACATGCAGAAACCTTCACTTGAGTGGAATAAACCTGGAGGAATGGGTGGCACCAATACCAGGCCTTCCGTGCTTTACAGGCTTGTATGAGATTGAGAATTCAGCCAAATAGTGGCTAATCATTTCTGGCTTGATTTCCACTTGATTGAAGGTCTTTCCATTGTATACACCGATGATACTACCAATCATTTCAGGAACTATAATCATATTTCGGAGATGTGTCCTAACTGGCTCAGGTTTCTCACCAGGTGGAGCCTCCCGTTTCTATTTCAAGACAGCAGAATAATATTCTCAGTAAATGGTGATATCTATTATTCACTTTGGTCATTACTTGGAACAAAATAGTTCAGGGGAAATTTATTATAATTCAAGAAGCCAGTAGCATATCTCAATGAATAATCAAACCTATCTATCTACTTCACCGACGACATTTGCAACAGCAGCCACAAATCTCTAAAACAGAGATTCTAAAGGTGATGATTCTACAGAATAGCTAAAAGAAGGGCAAAGGAGAAAGGAAGATACTCATTAAAGTACCATGATATCTAAAAATAGCAAATAAGCTATTACAAGCATGAGTCCCTGACATCATAAGCTTCCCAACTAGTTGCTCGTACAACAGGAAACACTATTATGTACATAAATCAAAATAACCAAGCAAGAGGGGAAAACAACTGTGGATTGTTAAACTATTTGGTAATACGTTACCGAAGGGAGTAACTACAGAAAACGAGATCCCTGGATGGGAAATATAAAAGTGAACTGGTCGTTCTGCTGTACGGCGGTTAAATTAAGACTAATAAACAGCGAGATTGGTTACAGCAATAACAGGTTAATAGAAAAGGCGAAACACATAATGTTAGAAAAAGAACCGAAAATCTTAAACATTAAGATAACAATGACGGTTGCACTTGAAAATGTTACCTTTGTATATAAAATGGGTCAAACAAAAAATCACAGGTAAAAAATTAGGTTGAAAGCTGAAAATATTATAGGTCGAGTTTAACAAAACTAGTTGCGCCCCAAAATGTTACCGGAGTTTCTAAAATTGGGCGAACAAAATAAGAACGTTCACAAAATAAGTTGAAAGCTGAAAATGTTATCAATCATGGTAATAAATCCGGTTGCGCCCATAATTATTAGCGTTCAATAAGTAAATTGAAATTGGGTTTGTTATAAGTTGCTTTAACAAGTCTGATTTTGACCGAAAATGTTACCGGAGTTTAGCAAATAGGTTCATCAAAATAAGGACAGCAACAATATAAGTTGAAAGCTGAAAATGTTATCAATCATGATAAGAAAATCAATTGCACCCATGATTGTTAACTTTTGATAAGAAAGTAAATTGAGATAGGCATTGCTATAAGATGCTTTAACAAATTCGGTTTCAACGGAAAATGTTATTTGAGTTTAGCAAATGGGTTCATCAAAATAAGGACAATAACAAAATACGTTGGAAGCTGGAAATGTTATCAATCGTGGTAAGAAATCTAGTTGCGTCCAGGATTGTTAGCATTCAATAAGAAAATAAGTTGAGATCAGGTTTGTTATAAGTTGCTTGAACAAATTCAATTTTGATAAAAAAATGTTATCGGAGTTTAGCAAATGGGTTCATCAAAATAAGGATGGTAAAAAAATAAGTTGAAAGCTGAAAATGTTATCAATCGTAGAAAAAAATCCGATTGCACCCATGAATGTTAGCGATAGATAAGAAACTAGGTTGAGATCAAGTTTGTTATAAGTTGCTTTAATAAATTCGATTTCGACAGAAAAATGTAACCAAATTTTAACAAATGGATTTAGGAAAATAATAGGATGGTAACAAAATAAGTTGATAGCCAAAAATTCGATTTTGGGAGACTAAGAAAGATAATTATGAGGTTTTTGTGTTTAAGCATTCTAGATCGACTATATTTTCACAACTATATTTATGAGGTCGCAACTTAAAATGTTAAATGTGGTTCAATACTTATTTCACGACAAGTATCGATACTTGTAATTAAGTATCGATACTTAGTTACAACCTAAAATGTTATATCTTTGGTAATATTTTCAATAGCAACGTAAAATATTAAATGTGGTTCAATACTTATTTCACGACAAGTATCAATACTTGTAACTAAGTATTGATGCTTATAGTTACAACCTAAAATGCTATCCAGTCCAACATAAAATGTTATATCTTAGGTAACATTTTCGATTGCAACCTAAAATGTTAAATGTGGTTCAATACTTATTTCACGAATACTTGTAATTAAGTATTAATACTTAGTTACAACCTAAAATGTTATCCAGTTCAAGATAAAATGTTATATCTTGTGAAACAACATAAAATTAGGAGTATCATACTTAGTTACAACATAAAATGTTATAACTGTAGACGATAGTCAATACCATTTATCTATGTCTAGTCGATCACATGAAAGCAAATACACAATCAACTAGAACACTAAGAAAAAATTAAGAGTAATCCAAAATCTTAGCCATTTTGCGTTTCTACTCTCAACAATAGCACAAATGCAAATACACGGATTAAACACGCACATATACAAACTGTAAATTGTCAGTTAACTCCGCATTAAACAAAAATGAAGGAAAACAGAATACTCACAGCCTTGCGTAATTTCTTGATCAGAGCCATTGGCTTCCTCGTCAAACCTCTCTGAAATCTGAAAATGTAGAAATGAAACTATCTAGTTTTCCAAATTAAAAGCCATTGAAGAAGAAAAAAAATCAAATAGAGAACTAACTAGAGGAGACCTTCGGCGAGCACGAGCAGGAAAGAGCTTGACAAGCTCATCTGTGGACATATCCAAGAGAGCATCGAGATCAACACCTCTGAAACTGAACTTCTTGAACGTTCTCTTCTTTGGTACACCAGGTGCAGCAACATCGGCATCCACGTCCGCCTAAAAAATTGAGACAAAACATAGAAAATGCACCAATGTTATGACAGTGTTTGGATCCCGATAAACTCGAAGAAAACGATCTAGGAACTCATGCAACATTGAAAGAAAAGAGAGATAAGCGAAGCTAGAGACGATGGCGAGACCATGGCTTGGAGACGGTTTTATGCACGGATTGGATCCGAATTAATAACTTTGTAAAGTATCATTTCTTCCCAACTCCCTTAAAAGTCAAAATCATTAGGAAAAAAATCGATAATGCTAGTCAATAAAATTTAATCCGTGACAAATCATATTGTTATATCTAGGGTGTGCAAATCCGGGTACTCGAAACTTTCGGGTCGACGATTTCTCGGCCCGTGTCCCGACCCGAATGTTATGGGTATCCGATAATCGGGTACCCGATACCCGATTTTTAATTTTTTATTTTCAAATTATTAATTTAAAAAAATATATACACAAATTTAAATATTCGAAACTTCAAATTACATACTCTAATATCCGAACATAAAATTTAAAAGTTCAAAATACAAAATATAATAATCTATAATATAAATAATTCATTATATTTTATATAATTATATATAAAAAAATAATAAAAACTAACCGGGTACTCGGGTACCCGGAAAAATTATATTTTGTGACCCGGGCCCGACCCGGGAAATGTCGGGCCGGGTACCCGACCCGGTCGGGTAATTTTTTTTAGAGAATTATCCGGTTTTTTTAGATCCGAGTCGGCGGGTCGGGTCAACCGGGTCGGATAATTTTGCACACCCCTAGTTATATCAGCCGTCATTATTTTTTTTTGAGTAAATTATGATAAAAAGATAATTTAGTTACGAATGTAAGTCAAACGAATTTAAATATTAAAATGGAGAAAAATACTATAATCTGTGAGTTAGATTATGACTAAAATCATTTTTTACAATTTCTACGACCGTACAATTTTTTTTTTTTGGTTCAATTAAGCTCCAACAAGCAAGAATGAGGAAAGCCTATCTACATCCCTCCTACACATAAAATTAAGAACAACAATTCTATTTGGATCCACATAATTGGAGTTTTTTTTTATAGTAACTTTTAAAATAAAACATTATAGAATTGGTGATAATTCTATCCAGAGCTCCAAAATTGTCAAGAACAATGCTTACAATCCATTGTATGCTGTCATGGGATTGCCAACAGAACGACATGTAAGCATGTTTTTTTTTTGTAAGAGGTGTCAATGTCATTTACAATAATAAGTAAATATTATTATTTGATATAGAAAAAAATACTTTTATAAAAGGGTTCATGTGATATCAAACATTTTATTCTTTTAATTCTTAAATATACTTAAAATTTAAAAATCTATATATTTTTTGGTAAAAAAATTTAAAAATATATTTAACACCATGTGAATATCGTTTATAAAATTATTATTTTTAAACGAATGATGATTTTTCATTAATTTAGAAAGCAGAGATCTGCTACAACTAATAAGCAATAGGCACCAAGCCTGACAACAACCCCAAATAATGCACAGTTGACTATTTATACCTCCACTCGTTGGCAAAGCACCTTTCAATCTCCACCGGACGTCCTCTTTGATCTCCCCAACAAAATCTGCAGCACCCCTCACAGCCCCCCAAAAACTCTGCGATTCCGCTCTCTCCAAATCCTGTAAATATAAGCCCTCCTCTAAGCAAAGCCCGCATCTCTCATCCACCTCCATAATGTTTCAAATAATAATTATGCAGGTAATAATTATTATTTGATACACTATCAGTAGAAAAAGTAATTTCACAGATACATAATTCTTTTGAATAATGCTAAGTGTATTATTTTTTATTTTTTAAAATATAAATTTAAAAGTATATACGGTGGAATAACAATAACATAAATAAAAAAAATATTCTTAAGTAATTTGATGATGATATCAAGAACCATTTGATTGGGATGTAAATAAAAAAATTGAAATATTCAAAAGATATATAAAACATATTATTTGTTAATAGACAATAATTACTTTGTTTCATTTCATATCATATCATAGCAAGCATTTCTTATTAGATTCATAAATCAGGAAGACAAGCATAATTGCAATGGAAAGGTGGAAACTAAGTTCCACTGAGACCAAGCAATTATGTTGGAACAAGAACAGATGATTCTCTTTTGGTGAAACTTTAAAGTTCGAACCATTACTAGGCTAACTTGCTTGGCATCACATTGAAGGTGTATTTCCCTTTTTATTAGGACCAGATGGTGGAGTATCCCTATTTCCCTTTTTATTAGGACCAGATGGTGGAGTATCCCTATTTCCCTTTTTATTAGGACCAGATGGTAGAATAGGCCTATATTCAACGAGACCAAGCAATGATGTTGGAATATGAGCAGATGGTGGAATATGAACTCCCTTTTTAAAATTCAAACCACTACTAGACTGACTTGTTTGGGAGGGCATTGGAGGCCTATTTCCCCTTTTACTAGGACTAGATGGTGGAATAGGAACTCCCTTCGTTAATATACCAAAATCCAAACCACTATTAGATTGACTTGCTTGGAATGATATTGGAGGCCTATTTCCACCTTTTCCAGGAGTAGATGGTGGAATAGGAACTCCCTTTGGTAATATCCCAAAGTTCAAACGATTACTAGATTGACTTGACGTTGAAGGCCTATTTCCACCTTTTCCAGGAGCAAATGGAGGAATAGAAGCTCCCTTCGGTAATATCTCCAAGTTCAAACCATTACTAGATTGACTTGTTTGAGACGATGAAATAGATGCTCCTTTTGAAAGAACCCCAAAGTTCAAGCCACGACCAGCATTGCTCAAATGAGGTGAACTAAGAGCATGATGAGGTTTTGCTTCGGTCGGGAAAATAACAAAGATAAGAATTAGAATTACGAGCAAATAAGCAAACCTCATGTTAATTCTCATCTATCTATTTGCTTCAATAATCAAACAAGTAAAACTAATTTCTTACTCTCCCTCTCAAATTTGATGGCTGCTCTTCTTTTATCATCCTAAATACGTGTTTTGTTGATCTTATTTGGGAAAGAAAAACTTAAAATCAATATTTTAATATTTATATTTGTTTTTTATGCTATATATGAATAAGATTACCTTATATTAATTTTGTTTTATTTTTTTAATATTTGAATTAAGTTGATTGAGGTGTAACTTTCCATTTGAGAAACTTTCTATTTATGTAGGAGACGATTATGGTAACAAAGAGAAACTAATTTCTGTCAAAATTATCCATTTTACTATTCCTTCAATTATCAATTATTTAATCCTATATGTATATATCCATGAAAAGGTTTCAAGATTACCATATTATTAATTCGTTATCCTATATTTTTTAAAACAGTGTAATATTTTAGATAAAGTACATAAGAAGTCGTTCAATTTATAAAATTTATAAAATAATCACTAATTGTTTTGAACGATTACAAAGATAAATGCAACACATGCAAGACTTTTGATCTTGCCGAGCAAATTGAGTGAAAGAATTTGGGCTTCTAGCCTCTAGGTAACTGCCTACACATTTGTATATGTTGGTGTTGTTTCCGTTGTGCTATGTCTGCAATTAGGCAAGAATTAAATTGCAGAAGTTGTACCAAGTAATGGAAAGAGATGTCACATTTCATGGAAATCATCATGTACTTGTTTCAAAGCATCTTGGACATTTTCCATTGAATTGTAATTCCTTTCTTCAAAACACTTAAGAAAAATTAAAAAATAGTTAAAAATTAGATAACATTAAGTTCCCTTATATTTATACGTCGGAAAAAATTGATAATTTTGGAGCTTTGAATGAAAAACTAATCCAAACATTGTTGAGGAAAGCGTGAAACCAATTGTTGGTTCGTAAATGTGCACACGCGCAAGATGAGGGTAACGCAAATGTCAGAATCGGTCGTACCCTATGCGGGCTTGCGAATATTTTAATCCAAATTTGAAATATATTTTCCTTAAATAGAGCATATATTTTCAAAATTCTATTTTGGAATTAAAGGATAAATAGTAAAAGATTCCTTTAATTCATACAATAATTTTGAAAATTGTTTGGTATGGTTATTGCGTCTCTTTTATTAAATGTTTTATTAGGTCAAGATTTTCCATTAGTTCACTATATGAAAACCCTCTAAATATTGTGTAAACTTGTTAGGTTAAAACACAATTCACGTAACTCAAAAATAATTCTTTTATTCTCCTTCAGTATTTCAGTGGTATATGAAGGTAAGGGAATAGTTGTTGTATCTTGGGAGATAGACGACCAATGATCTCAAGCACCATAGGAATGACCGAAAATCCATCTTGAAGAAACTGCGTAGTTGGAGGCCTCAACTCCAAAAACTCTCATCCACAATGCATAGACCAAGGAGTGGAGGAATTCCCCTCCAAAACCTACTTCAAATGAATATCAATAAGTGGTAAGAAAAAAAATAAGCAAACTCATTTTATAGCAAGTTTTAAGGAATCAATGATTTGTTTGATAGATAGATTGAGTCAAGAGCCAGATTCGAGATTATTGAGGTGGGAGTCATGGTTTATCAGATTTTATGAAAATTTTAGGTTTGATCGAAAATTGAGTGAGTTGATCGATGATGATGAAGGATAATGACCAGTAGTGTAAAATCAAAAGTAAACGAATACCTATTGTAAAGGAGAAAGTACATAAAATCACATTTTATGGATTAAATTAATTTAATATTAGCATATAATCTATGTTATTGTTGCATATTTATATATCCATGTCTTAGAGAAGAGAGAGCAAATATAAGGATTAAGAGTCATGTATAGACTAGCTTGAGATCGATGTCATGCACAATGAGACATTCTTTTAGGCCAATTTGATGAGATATGATGCCATGGTACCATCAAAGAATGAATGACATAACAAGTCAAATAATTTCATCTCTTACATGCGTTCTATCTTGATAATTTGGTACGTATATGGTTGATAATAATTGAATATGATCATTTGGTATCGTTAAATCTTAATAAAACAAAAGCATGAATGTAAGAACTTCGCTGCTAACTACGTCAATGGATTATACAAAACAAATGTTCATAAATCAAAATAAACATGGTTTAATTGTGTTTATATCGATTGATGATCGTAAAATTTTATTTAACTTATTGATGAGTTGATCATTAGCGTGTATAA